TCCGTTTAAAAAAGCATCGGTCACATTGACCTAACCCATTGAGAAAATTACTCAAGGTCAAATCCATATTTTCACCATATGTCCCCCCCCTTAATATCCTACAACTTTCATATGAAACATTTTTCCATATCTACAGCTGTTTCCAAGATAATAGAATCTAGGTCAGACTTTATAGACACTTTATATACTTAAGAATCCGATCTTTTTACAGCCAAATAGTCTGTAAAGCAAATGACACATGGTGCATTTTTAAATTCGTAAACTTCTCGAATTAATAAAGCCGATTACATTCCAGAGTTCGAAAGATACCAATTGCAAAGCGTTTTTTCTTTAGAAAACGGTACATAAATTAATAAGCATTTCTTTCCTTTATATACTGCTATTGATAATATTTTTATGCTGGTCATTTGCTATTAGAATGCATGTGAAAAGATGCTTATCTGTTTTTCTTTGTCTTTATAAAATAAAAGGCACGGAGTTTCTTTTTTTCTTTTTTCCCCCTTACAATATTGTTTCTTAAATATCGTGCAATCTTATTGAGAATTCAATAAAATGCTATTTAATTAAAATACGTTGAATTAAATATGCAAATTAATCGATTCGCTTTATCATTGTGCATAAAATGAAATATTCATTCTAAATCAGCAATTTTAACAAGTCATTCTCGAATGTTATCATTTGTGCTGCTTCATACATCAAACTGTAACTTTTACTCAAGTGTAAAAATAATGCGAGATATTCAAACTTTATAATGGAAAAATGTTGTGGACGCTAACCATAATATAATCAGTAGAGGCACTTTGAAAAAAATGCGTGGTCATGCAGATTTCATGCTCAAAGATTTTGAAATACAATGTGGCAGCAAACGTATACGTGCGCATAATTTAAGGTGTATAGTTTCATGTTTTATTATTTATTCTTGTTATGTATTTATTCTTGTTTCATTATTTATTCTTGTTTAATATTCACTTAGAGAAAGACAAAATGATGATAAAAGTGACAACTATACAAGTTTTACATGTAAAATTGATGTATATGTATGTGTGTGTAGTTAAATAAACTATTTTATAATTATTCAATTATATACATTAAGTCTACATATAAAGTTTATATAGTTGTCACTATTATGTTTTTTTTCTAATTGTTCGATGAAATAACAAACAAGTATACTTAAATAATGCATTATGCGTAAAACGAAAGATAGTAAAAGTACCTCCTTAAAGTATCACTGATAAATAAATAGAGCACTAAAATGTCTATTCGGTCACTGAATTGTTTAAATATTAACATGATGAATAATGGAGATCACTGGAGAAAGTGCCGACACAAAGTGCCCCTATTGAGTATGCTAACTAAAAGAGCACTAATCTTACGCTCTATAAAATCTACGCGTAGTAGTGTTTTTTATTATAAAATTATAACATCAGGATATAAAAATCTCGATTTGCATAAGCGGCCTCGTTACTCTTTTATACATTCTTCTTTCTTATCTCTTAGCGAATTAATAGCGAATTTGGAAACTCGCGAAAATGTAAAATTCGTCAGCGTGTTTTGTTATGCAAACGTTACAAAAAAATGAATTAAAAGCTATGCAATGGTGTACTTTGGTTTCGTTGAAACTGCGCGTTTTATACGCATGTATATATATA